TTTTTTTTTTGTGCTGTATTTAAATATAACCTTTTTTATCATGTCATAATTTACCACGATGTGAGGTATTTAAAAAGTCCTCTTCATATTTTGATTGCCCCAGCATACTAATTTCTGTTTGAGGAGTCCACTTCTAAGACTGGATAGGATCTAGGTGCCAGTAGTTTAAATTCCCAGCCCTTAACTTGGATTTAGCTGGGGGGCGGGGAGAGGTGCTATCCTAAGACACTAGTTTAAAATGGAGTGGGAATGTTGGAGTTTCAACTGCAAACCTTTGTATTTCAGCAGTTCAGCATCAGCATTACCTCAGCTGAAGTCACAGATTGATTCTTGGGAAACATTTATTTCGAGTATTAAGAAACAAATGGAAGAAGTAGAGGTAAGTCTTGATTTCTCTTACCAAACCAATTTGGAAATTAGGGAAGAACAAGTATCTTTTAAATAATTCTGTATTTCTCTTTTTTATTTACTGCTTTCAAAGCTTCAGTAGCTTGTCCTCCAAGTATTGAACAGCAGTTTTTTGATGTTAAAAGAAAGCACCAATAAGTGCAACAATAAGTGCAGTTCTTGTTTTCTCTCTGCAGGCTCAGTATGAAGAAAAAATTCAAATGGTGAAAAATGGTGCAAAAAACTGCCTCACTAAGATGCAAGCCTACGATCTTTCATCTCCTCCCAGTGTCTTGGTATGTACTTTATATTTCAAAGCCATGTGCTCCAAGGCTATTAGGAAGTTAAGCTTGGCTGTCTTCTATAAGCAATGTACCTTAGAATTAGAATTTGCAGTTGTGAGCACAAAATCACCTGGCTCTGCATATCTCCAGCTACCAACCTAAAGGAAAATGCGTCAGCAGATTAGCAGGATGAAGCTCAGTGAGAAACAAATCCCCAAGCCCTTTTAGGGGCATAAGTTGCTTATGGTTAAATTCAGAATCCTTCATATTCAGTCTGAATGAGTACTAATATTTTTGGATATCGTGATTTTCTTGTAGCACTAAAATCCTTTGAGACAAGGCCCCATTATGCCAACACGTGTAACTGATTGTGGATGCCAAAATTAACTTCCCGTTGCATCTGTTGTGAGCTAGATGGAATACAGCCATTTATGGGAATTAATCTCTAGCGGCTACATCCCAGATAAACACTATTAAAAGCACTTTGCTTTGCCCAAGTCGTGTTGGTTGCCTCCGGTCCCTGGGCAGGCAGGAAGCGGGTCTGGGTCCACACTTGCAGTGCCGCCCGTCACCAACGGTGACGTCGGAGCTCCTCTTGCTCCCGAATCCCTTCCCCTCGCCGCCTCTTCCCAGGTGTCTTTCCCCGTGCGGTGCAGGATTCTCAAGAGCCTTCTGAGGAGAATGTGCAGCTGCTCTCAGTGGTCATCCTCAGGTTACCGTCCGTTTGCAGGTTGAGGAGGAGAGGGAAATGTGATCCCCGTGTTCTGCGCTCAGCATCCTACTACAGAGATACAAAGTTAACTTCTTAGATACTTCTATAATTCTTTCAGCTTCAAAACTTTAGTATGTAAATACTGAATCCAAATGAAAAATCATTAGTGATGAAAAATCCTTTCTTTCTTGACTGCTTAATTCTACCTTTGAAGCTTAGCACTTTTCTATATGCAAGAAGTATAATCTGATACAGCTTAAAAAGCTTAGGGATCATCAAAAATAAACTTAAGGCTATGTATTAAGTAATATGGAAACTTATAAAAACGAATCTCAGTTTTAGCAAACTGAAACTGCTTTACTATGTCATGTTTCAGTTCATCCTTTATATATTTGGTTTGGTAAAACTCAATTGATTACTTATAAATATAAAACAAATTGGTATTCTCAAGCAAATATTGG